ATGGAACTTCTGAGACAGCATCTAAATCGGAGCTAGCCACATTCTTTACTTTTAACAATTTCCACCTCCTCCCAGGCTCAAACTCACATGAGATGGCTGGCACTTCAGCAGCAAAGACAACTAAAAACCTTGCTTTAAACCACTGAAGCAGAGCTGCACACACAGTAAAACACACCTATAACCCCAGCAGAGATAGGAAATCATACAAGTTCAAGGCCAGCCTGGCTATACAGAACATTCTAGATGAGCAAGGGCTATATAGTTAGACTTTGTTTTAAAAAACAAATAATAAAACAAAATAGTAGAGCAGAAAGATAGACCTGAGCCGGGCAATGGTGGCACACGCCTTTAATCCCAGCACTTGGGAGGCAGAGGCAGGTGGATTTCTGAGTTCAAGGACAGCCTGGTCTACAGAGTGAGTTCCAGGACAGCCTGGGCTGCACAGAGAAACCCTGTCTTGAAAAAAAAAAAAAAAAAAAAGAAAGAAAGAAAGAAAGATAGGCCTGGGCCCACTTAGTGACCAAGGAGCAGCCATGCCAGTCCTGGACTTCTGACTTCTAGACAATAACAACTCCTCCTTTCTTCTTCCTTCTTCCTTCTCTTCTCCTTCTATAAGAGAAGACACTGGTCTCCATTAGGTCTCTTTTATAAGAAGCCAAACATCATTGGTGTTAGCAGCCATGTTCTTGCCACAGAGAGTTAATCCCTCCACTGAGTGAGGAAGAGAGGTTCAGCCTCTCCCATGGTCAAGGGAGTGACCACATACCCCTAGGTCCATTATACTGATTCGCACCGACTTTCTGTCAGTTGCTAATGAGAATCCAGACTAAGCCTGGGCTGACAGGTCATACCTGTAATCCCTCCCCTCAGGAGGGTGACAAAGGAGGTTCTCAATAATGAGACCTAATAGTGAGACCCTGTTTTGAGAACCAAATAGAGAGTCTGGGCTGACACACCTACAAGACCAGTATGGAAATGCAGAACCGGACAGACCTTCAAGACAAGTTATTAATCTAAAATGCAAACAGCCAATATTTACTGAGCACTTACAAGATGTTGGAGAAGATCTAGCAATATTACCTAGCTCCAAATAATCCCATGGGTTGACCCTACTATGTCCATTTTGCAGATTAGGAAACTGAGGCACAAATCGTGGTTGCCCCCAGACCATGTATCTCATATTGTGTAACTTTAGCCAGGTGGGGTATAAATGATAGATTATGACAGTGTCACCATCCTCTTAGCTGAAGTTTCGCATTGGCAAAGGCTGAGGCCCCAGGCTCCTTGCAAACTGTCTATGTGGGGGCCTAGGTGACAGGACAAGCAGCAGGAAGGATGTGTCAGGGGTGTATCTATGAAGCCCCTGCTAGAGCAACAGGCCAGTTACCACTGATCTCTGAGAGCAGTCCAGAAAGGTCCACGCGATCTGCAGCATCGCCAACCTGTGCTGGCGGAAGATTGGCATGTTCTGTTCCCACGGTAAACACGACACCGCTGGTGTCTGCTGTGTGTGGGCGGAGATCGACGTGGGAGCTCAGGGCACCTGGGTTCAGAGCTGGCAGTGAGTCAGCTGCTACAGAACGTTCTGGCACAATTGCAGCTAAAATCAGAGGGACAGGGCACCGACACCCAGTCCCCTGCCGCATCCTTCTCCTTGTCACCTCATTCTCTCACCCACAAGCCTCGCACTCAGGCAGCATCCGCCCACCTGCTTAACCCACATACAGGTGACTCAGGCGGCTGTACCCCCAGGAGGGTGGCTGATTGTCCCCTCTAAATTCACCACAGCCATCCCCAAACAGCTCATTACACGGCAGGTCCCCGGAGAATGCCAGTCATCCTGTGTGACTCAAGCTAGCCTGATCAGACTGGCGAGAGAGAGCGTTTTATGTCACTGCTGCTGGTGCGGAGTCTCTTTCTCTCTCGGATGTGAACAAAGGTGTAGTCCCTGTTCGCACCGGCATCTATCTTGAGACTGTGAGAAGCGGACAGAGCGCAACACTGACTCTGCGCCCCACAAAATGCTCTACAGGAACTAAAGAATGACGTACCCTTCTGTGTAAAATAAAACAGGAACCAAGAGGCTGGCGGGACTGAGGTGGCAAGAGAAATGGCCAAGCAGATTGGGGAGGGACTTCAAGCTGACGTCATAATACTTTCACTTTCCAAGCACTTAGGGGAAGCCACCTGCACATCCAAATGCTTCATAAATCACATCCTCTGTCTGCATGGACATCCATCAGCTGAAGGGGGAGCAGGAGTAGTCACGGAACTACAGCTCATAGCACAAGCAACTGGCAACCTAATAAACACACAGCTCACCCCCAAGGGGATAAAAGCTTACTCTGGAGCACTTAGGTCACCCCAAATTCCATGTTCCAACACGGTAACAGTTTTATGAAGAATTAACTGTAACAGAAAAAAGAAAGTACGTAATCAACACATTTAAAATGCATTCACCAAGTGCATGCCTTTAATCCCAGCACTTGGGAGGCAGAGGCAGGCGGATTTCTGAGTTCGAGGCCAGCCTGCTACAGAGTGAGTTCCAGGACAGCCAGGACTACACAGAGAAACCCTGTCTTAAAAAAATAAATAAATACATTCACCAATGGACTAGAGAGATGGCTCAGCAGTTGAGAGCACTGGCTGCTCTTCCAGAGGACCCGGGTTCAATTCCTGTTGCCCACAAGAGGCTCATAACGCTCTGTAACTCCAGTCCCTAGAGATCTGATGGCTTCTTCTGGCCTCCACAGACACCAGTCATGCATATACCACACAGGCACCCACATAAAACAATTTTTTTAAAGCTAGCCAATGGCTTAAAAAAAATGTACATCCATGGAAGTGCCAGGCAAGTGAGTTACAGCAGCACAGCCAGGGATCCCTGGAGCTGTCTGTGACATCCTGAGCTTGTGAGTTTGTAGACATTAGTTGTCTAACAGTATATCATAAAAGGTTTCACATCATAGTCACAGGAAGTTTGGTCACAAGGAGGGGTGGGGGGCAGTAATGGTAGCCGTTAAGAATGTAGGATTTTGGCTCTGGGCCTGCAATATTCCAACCTCTCCACAGAGAATACTCTGTGACCAGTCCACCAGCCTAAAATGTTTGATGTGGGGGAGCGGGGGAGGGAATCAACTTATTTCTGGGAACTCGACATCACACCTCCTACTCCAGCCAGCCAGCTAGGCCAGGAGAGCAACCTCTCAGGTCACCCAAGGCAGAGAGCTGTATGCTTCTGAGCCCTTAAAATGCCTGTTCCATTCAAGAGCAGAATAACCAGGAAAAGTTAGGCTCAGCACCTACAGCCACTTTTGCCCAGGAAAGAACAGGGGTCTGGATCTCCATGCCCAAGGGGATGCAGGATGGCTATTCTGAGTCCTCAGCAGGAATATCCCCTGCTACCGGAGTTTACCTGATGCCCTTCATTGGTGTCTCCTTTCCCTAGCACCTACAGGGGTCACCTCTGCTCTGTCTCCTAATAGAGTTTACAACAGGTCCCAAGCCCCAGGCTCTTTTAGAACCTTACTGTCCCCTTCCCTTGGGCCTGGGAAGTCTTGTAAGGGTCAAAAAAAACAAAACAAAAACAAAAAAACACTGAAGACTCTAGACTCAGATCATATGCAAAGACAACGTTTATTCTGCAGAAACATCCAGCATGTGGGGGTCAATTATTCTCTAAAATGGCGACACTAGACAGCGGCACGCAGGTCGTTTTATAGAGAACCAGGGGAAGTCTCTAGAAGGATTAGGTAATCTAAAATTTCATCAGTAGGTGCGAAGGGGGTCATAGGTGGTCAGTGGTCTGCATTCCTATGTCATGAATGTTCAACCATGTGATGAGGTAGGGTGGCCCAGTGCAGGCAGCCCATTCTAAATTATGTATTTTCCCATTTTTGTGGTTATCTCAGTCTGTTCTTTGGGAGGGGGTTTTATGATCTTGTTTTGGATATTATGGTCTGTTCCTGGAGCTGGTGTCTTATGACTTAGTGGTCTATTCCTGAAGCTGGTTCCTTACAGCCTTTTATTGAAATCAGGCCTGGTCCTTCAAATGCAGACAAACGGGGTTTATACTGTCCTTTCAACATCAGCTTCTCAAACGGAATGTTACATAGACGGTGCTGTACAGGATCCAGGTTGACTTGGAAGTGGTCCAGCCTCTCTAGGGACACTCATCGTTGGAAACCACGAGCCATGCTGGTAGAAGCACAAGTCACAGGAGAGGGGTTGCACAGCCGTTCATGCTGGATACTTGCTGTGTAGTCAGATGACCTGACTTTCAGCGGGTGTTTTATTGTTTTGTTTTCTTTCCCTGGGGTGGACCTACTTTGGGGAGGACCTTCAGTAGCCACACCTACTTCTAGTTCCTGGATATGTTTATTTAGATGATTTGCGACACGGAACTTTAGGGCAGAACCGTAAAGAATCAGCACAACTCAAGCCACTGTGGCGAGTTCCTGTCATTGAGCCTAGATGAGCCCACGCTGGGATCCAGAGCGCTCTATGGAGCCTCGGCTCACCCACTCATTAGCTCCATACCTTGTGTGTGTGGTCATAACTTTACTGTGCCTCAGTTTCCTTCACTGTAAAATGGAATCGGCATCGTCCTCAGCTAGCAGGCCTCGCTCTGGAATGTGAATAGGTCACCACTGTTGCTTTACTGCGTGGAGGCCACTGTTCCCAGCTCCTACTGAGAGCCGACTCATCCTCACTGGGCAGGTCTGACCGCCCGCGTCCTCTCCTCGGAGGACCTGAGTCACCACGCTGTGCGTCACCCGCGCCTCTGCTCTGACCTGCAAACTCACCCTGAGTCAGCGGCCGGGCGCATCCACTGAGCGCATGGCGAGGGGGCGGCAGTTCGCCGCAGCGGGCAGTGGGCAGCTAGGTCAGCGCGGGACACGGGGCTCCGGTCGAGCGGCGCGGGGGCCGATAGGATCACAGCGTGGACCGAGCCAAACGGTCAGGAAAAGAGTAGAGCGGTCGCCCCCCGCGACCGCGCGATGGTACAGCCCGGCCGGGTAAAGAGGCCGGGCGGCGCTAGCCACCAAGGAAGAGGTATGGGGCTACGCGCGGGTGGAGCGCTCCGGAGGGCGGGTGCGGGGCCCGGGGCGCCTGAGGGACAGGGACCCGGTGGCGCCCAGGGCGGCAGCATCCACTCGGGCTGCATCGCCACGGTGCACAACGTACCAATCGCCGTGCTCATCCGGCCGCTGCCGTCCGTGCTGGATCCAGCCAAAGTGCAGAGCCTGGTGGACACGATCCTGGTGAGCCCCCGGAGCCTACCGGCCCGCGCGAGGGAGAAAGAGAGGGCGCGCGGGTCGGGATCCTTGATCTGTGGGAGCTCAGCTTCGCCTGTGGGACCTTGATGGACTGGCTGAGTCTCCCGGGGGCCCCAGGTTCCTCAGTTAGACTTGGCCATAAATTAATGATCGGTGACACACGTACTCAAAGTGCTGAGGTCACCCCGGAGCTGACTGTTGCCTTTCGGAGCAACTCTGTTAAGTAGTTGCTGTTCCTTCTGTACAGAGGAGAAACTGAAGCACAGGAAGTTTGAACTTTTTTTTTTTTTAAGCAACTTGCCCTATGTCAGGTGCTTAAAGGATGATAAGGTGAAGCTTTACACCCAGGCAACCTCCATATCCTGCTCTCTCTTCTGGCCTTGACAATCTTCTTGGCAACGGTCTGGGTGTGTCACGTCTGTTGGCAGGATCTTGTTCATTCAGGAAGTGGGAAAGGACAAGGTCAGTCTATCGTGGGAGGAGGGTCCCCTCAGTAACTAGGGGTTAGAGTTTGTGTCAAGTTAGGCCAAAATGGCTTTCTATCCCTTCTTCCAGATTCTTGAGTTTCAATGGGCCCTGTGACACACCTAAGTCTGCAGGATGTTTTAGTCTTAAAATTTGCACTCCTCTTCCTGCGTAAACTTCAGAAGAGCAGGGATTTCGCCATCTTGGTGGTTGCCTTCAAGCTGACTGTGGGAAGGGGATTTAGCCCAGAATGTTCTCTCAGCATCAGTGAGCCTCTGGGCAGACTTCCTCCACCCCAGGAAGTGCTCCTATGCCCTTCCTTTTTGGTCATGATTTTAGCTTTTGTGCGTATGTGATGCTAGGATTCGCGCTCCCCTGCGTGCGTGCATTGGCGTGTTAAGCAGGAGCGACACCATTGCGCTGCGTCCCTGACTTTTTATTCTTTCATTGCTTCTAATTCCTTAATCATTCTGTCTTGATGTCAGCCAGTGTCTCCCCTGCTCATGGGTTTGGCCTTCTGTGACCTCACAGGCACCTGGGTGGCCCCTAACACAGCTGGGAACCCTATGAGTTTTAATGACCAGTTTAGACACCTCTTTTTTATGCTGTCACAGGCTCTGGAGACAAGGACCCATCTTCCTAGGCCACCTGAACAGGTTGCCACAAACAGAACTGCTTGAAACAAGACAGAAGTCCAAAGCTATGTTGTCTTGTGGTTTTTAAGACAGGGTGTGTCTCTATATAGCCTAGGCTGCCTTGAAACTCATCCTTCTGTTTCAGTCTCCCGAGTGCTAGGATTACAGGTGGTCTCCACCAGGCCCAGCTCAAAGTCTATATTACTGAGCTAAAATAAGAAACCAGCAGGAATGTTCTCTTGAGACCCTGAAGGGAAAATGCACTTTCCCAAGTCTTAGTTACTTTTCCTTTTGGGTGACACAACACCCTGACAAATGCAACTTAAGGGAAAAAGTCTTATTTTGACTGGCAGTCCATCATGTTAGAGGATTCCTGATGACAGGAGCTTGAGGCCGTTGGTCATGTATCTCCAGTCAGAATGATGAACGCCACTCTACACGGCTCACTTGCTTTTTCTTATACAGGATTCTAGCCTAAGGAATGATGCCACCTACAGTGGGCAGATTGTCCCAGCTCAATTCATCTAACCAAGATAATCCCCCATAGGCATGCCCAGAAAGGCCTACCTCCAAAACCATTCTGGATTTCATCAAGTTGACAGTTGAACCCCTTAGCTGATTCTCTCTCTCTCTCTCTCTCTCTCTCTCTCTCTCTCTCTCTCTCTCTCTCTCTCTCTCTCATCTTCAAAGCACCAGCAGCTGGTGGAGTCCTTCCCACCTCAGGTCACTGTGACCTCTTTTGTCACAGCCTTCTGCTTTCAGGGAACCTGGTGATGGCATTCAATCTGCTTTGTCAACACAGGGCAATCTCAGTTTAGGGAGACTTAAAACCCACTTCTGTCAGTAGACTTCCACTAGGTAAGGTGGATTTCACAAGTCCTAAAGATTAGGAAGTGGGCATCCTGGGGGACCATTCTTGAGCCCACTCTACTGCCATGCCTTCAACACAAGGCCTGCCAGGTGCAGCTGCCTAGGGCCACGCCTCCCGTGCATCACCTCCCTGACTTCCACCCCCACCCTGCTGGATGAACATGGGAGGCCATCTGCACGACATAGTTCCCTCATTGCTCTGAAAGGAGCCATGGTTCTGAGCCCCTTGTCACTTCAGGAAGGCACATGGGCCTCCTTCCTGGCTCGTTACCTGTGAGACTGTCTTCACAGCATTGCCATTTCTTCTTTCAGTCCACTCCTGGGACCGAAACCTTGTCAGGGTGAGACTGTCCTTACCTCCTGGCTGTGCTGTGGTCCCCCAAGTGTGGGCAAGTGGGCACGGGATGTATCATTCACATGGTTATAGATCAATGCTCCACAAATATCCTTTGGGGGACCCCCCCCTGCCATTTCCAGCATCTGCCATTTCTTTGCCAGAAATACTCTTGGGGCTGATTTTCAAGCTGCCAGGGTACCACCCACCATCTTGCAGAATCAACTCCTAGGTGGCTGAGAGCCAGCATGAACCCTCTATAGGAGCTCTGCTTGGCTTAACAAAACATTTTGCCAGTTCTCAAGCACAGTGCCATGCTCTCACCCTGTGACCCTTCTCTTTAGGAGGACCCTGACAGTGTGCCCCCCATCGATGTCCTCTGGATCAAAGGGGCCCAGGGTGGTGACTACTACTACTCCTTTGGGGGCTGCCACCGCTATGCAGCCTACCAGCAGCTACAGAGAGAGACCATTCCTGCCAAGCTCGTGAGGTCCACCCTTTCAGACCTGAGGATGTACCTGGGAGCATCCACACCAGACTTGCAGTAGCAACCTCCTGATAACCTCCACCCCCATCAGCACCACTTCCTGGCGCTCAGAAGATACATGCAGCCCCCAGCAGGCAGAAGCTATAGAAGAGATATGTTCTCTTTATACTTAAGGAGGGAGGTCTGCCTCTTGGTGCCTCTGCACTAGCCCCCAGGGACTATAAAAAGATATCATGGCCTTGACTCTGAAGGAGTTCCAAGAGGAGGAAGTGAGAAAGGAGATGGATGTGGAGACAAGGACTCTCATTTTAATCTTTATATCACTACATGAACTATGTACTAAGAAGTAAAGGAAAACCTAGGTCACCATGGCTTAAGCAACAGGCGCTTGTTATTCCTATAGCCTGAATCCTGGAACAGGTGGCTAACACAGTATTGTGTCAACAGCTCAGTGGAGGCGGGGCTTCCTCTGGATAATCCTTTGGCCCTGTCCTCATTGCTCCTTACTTCCTAGTCACAAGATGGCTGCTGTGTTTCTAGGAATCATGTCTGTGCTCAAGGAAGAAACCCGCAGGACCAACTTCCATCAGAAAGGAAAACCTTGTTCAAAGTTTCAGGAACCTGTTCTTTGCATATTTGCACATAGTCACCTTGGTCTAAGCTAGCCACCATTGCCACCCACAGCTGCAAAGAAAGCAGACATTAGGAAGCGTTGTCACAGCTGAGCGTGACTGCCTTGTTCATCCCCTGGAACTGGCACTGTGCCTCCTGGGAGCGGGAGAGGGAGATGTTAGCCTTTGCTACGAAACAAGCCATCCCCAAACTCATCAGCGAAACAAGTATTCATTTACCCATGATTCTCTAGGTTAGCTAAGCTCCTTTGAGCAGCTCTACTGGCGTGGCCTGGTCCTGCTCATGAGCCCATAGTCAATTGGGTCTGGTTGGACTAGGACCACTGTAGCCGTTGTGGCAAGTGTTGGCTACATTGGCTTGATTATTCTTGTTGCCTCTCTCTCACAGGTCAGCTCAGGCTTATTCTCAAGACGGCCTCAGGGTTCCAAGAGAGAGAGAGTAGTAGTGACTAAGCAGGACCTGGAGCTTACCTGCTCACCTGTTAATAGCACTTACATGGTGATTCACAACACTGTCATTTCCATTCCAGATGACCTGATATCCTCTTCTAGCCTTTGTGGACCCAGATACACACATTCAAGCAACACACCCAATTACATTTTTTTTTTGAAACAGGGTTTTTCTGTGTAGCTCTGGCAGTCCTGGGACTCACTCTGCAGTATCAGGCTAGCCTTGATCTAACTCACAGAGATCTGCCTCTACTGCCTCCCAAGTGCTGGTATTAAAGGCGTGCCCTACTATCACCCAGGTACATTTTTTTTTTTTAAAGGTGACAAGATTTCTTCAACCCCAGTGCCAGGAATGTATCTCTGCTGGTCAGTTTATTCCTTAGATTTAAGGGGTGCAAACGAACCCAGCTCTCAGTGAGAGGAACTGTAAAGAACATGGGGCTGTTGTTCATCGCAGATGAATCTTGGTGGGCAAGAGACAGAATTACTCACTCCCACACATAAGCACTGCTTTTCATAAGTTTGTCACAGAAGCACACAAAGGGCCTTATCAAGTCAGCCTTTAAGCAACTGTTCTCAAAACCTAGAAGTCATGGTATGGTGTCTTCAGGAGCTGCGTAATCCACCCCTTAGGATGACTCACAAGCAGAATGAGGTGGGTAATAGGGCATTCAGAGGGCCTTCTGCAAACCAAGAGTCCAGGAGGCAATGGAAGCAGCAGAGTGAGGTGGCACTTGCTATGCCACACAGAGACCTTAGTCACTGGTCATTTTCAAGCCTCTGTCTTCCCAGCTCACTGGTGAGGACACCAGCTTTCCCACCCACCTAGTGTCCCAGAAAATGAGATTCAAAGGGATAAAATGGATCGTGGTGCTGGACTGATTCTTAGGACCAACAAGAGACTAGGGAGAGCGAGCACTTTAGCAGGTCAGCCTGGACGCGTACAGTCTGGGTTTGAGTTACCTTTCAGTTTGGGTAACCTCATCTCTGGGGTGGGCTGGATGAAGGATGTAAGGGAACTCTTCAGTCTCTGCAACTTTTCTGTAAAGCTAAAGTCATTCCAAAATAAAAGTTTATTTAATTAAAACACAGATACTGCAATGGCTTTAGCCAGCATTTTTGGTTGTGTTTGATGGACCTTGTCCTCGGAGCTTCAGGTCTGAGGCTCAGGAACATGCATTTCTAGAAAGTTCTCAGAAACAGCTGGGAGCCCAGAAACATATTTTTAGACAGAGCACCTGCTGCTCAGGGAAAACAGCCAGGACTCTAGTCAAATAATGCAGCTTGCTTTTTTGTTCTGGGCCCTTGGACTTGTCCAGGGTACTTGAGCTCTAGACCACCCCGGCAGGAGAGTGGAGGGGGACATGGTTCTCCAAGCTGTCAGGTGGCCTCTACAGCCCTAACTGTGACCAGGGTCAGGAGAGCAGAGGATGTTCTTGTAAAGTGCTGGGCCAAGGTAACAGGCCATGTATCTCATCTGGAAGGACGACTTCATTTAGAGAAACCCAGCCAGCAGTCCTCAAGAGGATGTGGTGGAGGTCTTAAGAAAGACAGCTGGGAGCAAAGCATGACCTATACCTGTAATCTCAGCCCTGGAGAGACAAGATGACACATTCAGGATAAAAATCTTCATGAGTATCGTAGCAAGATCCAGGCCGTCCTGGAAAACTTAGTACAATCCTGTCTCCACATAAAAATAGAAAGGGGCAGAGGATGTAGTTTGGCAGTAGAGAATTTGGCAGGCATGTTGGGTTCAATCCTCAGAAAGAGAGGGGCGGGACAAGGAGAAAGAGGGGTGGTGTAGTTGTCAAGTGGGACCGAGCTGCATTTCCTTCTTACACCAGCAAGTGGCGCTGCCTTCCCGCTCCTAGAGCAGAGCGGCGGCTTGCGGATGGCCCTGAGCACGGTTCAGGTCTGAGGAGACTTAACTGGAGGCAGGCCCTCACGTGCTGTTCATCCGGCCTGCTCTATACTTGTACCTTAGGGGTGGTGGGATCCTCTGTAAGAAGCACCTCCAAAATGTTTTCTGGGTTCTTTTACGTATCCCTTCCTCTGCCCTTAAGAAAGGCAGCATGTAGGGGTTCCTGAGGCTCTGTGAGGCCCGGAGCCAACCCCTGCATGGTAGATTTACATTTTAATTTCTCAGTTTATGAAGATTAGTCAGTAGTTAATGAGCACATGCCTATAATCCCAGCACCTCAGAGGCTGAGGTACAAATATTGCAAGTTTAAAAGTAAGCCTGGGCTACATTGTGAGACTCTAAAATACTCTAAAAGATATTAAAATCTTAAATAAATATTTTCATTTAAAACACTAGCAACAGGCTGAGGTTCATGATGGGTCCTAGACCTGGCTGCCTCTTTGGTCTTTTTAGGGCCATGAATTTTGGCACATGCTTTTCCAGAAGTCTGCGTGATGAATCACATGAGTATGTATTCATGCACATCTAGAACACTGTGTGTGTGGTGTGTGTGTGTGTGGTGTGTATGTGAGTGGTGTGTGTGTATGTGAGTAGTGTGTGTGTGTGTG